CAAATAAATAAAAGTAAAACTCGGTTCCAATGTAGCTGTTTCTAAATGGAACTTTAACCCACGAATACAAGATGTGTATTAATAAATATATTTAAAATCATTTCTAAATACAATTTAAAGGGCCAAACTGATGGCCTACTACAACAGTCTTCAGTTTCTGCTTTGCAGACCCCTCAAAGAGAGTGTACTAAGGGGTTTACAGACAATATCTAAGTAAATCAAACCTAGTCGATCAGTCTTAAATTCATTGTAATGGGATTCACATGCCCATGGGAAAAATATTAGGGATCTACAAAAACTAAAATTTGAAAATTGCTGTCTGTTCCATTCTACATGGACAAAGGTTACGTTCAATGTTCAAATTCCAAGATATTTAGGAGATTCAAATTAATACCCTGAATCCCACACAGAGGAGAGGAGAGCTTTTACTGAGATTTATCACCCTTTAACCAATTATGTTGGAGTCGCACCATTACTGTGGAAAACTGACCATGACCAACTTCTTAGCTACTGAATCCATATGTCCAGTACACTTGAAAACAAAGCAAAAAGGAAAAAAGACAAATGAAAAAGATAAAACAACAGCCAAGAAAAAGTGATATCACAAAATGGAGGACAGCTCAGGAAAACGAGCCAATCAAAGTTTGAGGACACTGATACAAAGGGCTAAATCTGCAATGCAATCTACCTTATTCATGATTTTTGAGACGAAGTTTCTTTTATTACCTGCTTCCTTAGTAGCTATGTAGGTTTTCTGCAACATTTCAATACTCCTGCCTGATGCAAGGGAGGGAAATGTCACATTTGGAGTGGTTTATGCTCTGCATTTTTTTCATTCTCAGTATGTTAAGTAGTGTTATTTGTTTAAAGAAATCACTCAGTTTTTTCCCCAGCACTATTTAGCTTCCAACTAAAACAGTCTGCCTGCAAAGAATGAAAGAGGCATGTAGCTTTTAAAAAGCTACTGTTTTCATCATAATTTGTAATCCAGAGCACTCCTTTGTTTTCCCCCCACTGCATTCTTTGTCCAGCTAATTACAAAAGTAACTGGATGTTGGCACTAAATAATAATGGCTAATCATATTCATCCTGGGCAATTCAAATTACTCTTTAGCAGCCAGAAAACTTAAAGTGCAATTATACGATTAACTACTAGTTACATTAGAATAATGGCCATTTGCTACAAGCTGAATAAACCTCAGCTACATTGTTTCATAGATGTCCTGACTAACTGTGATATTAACAAGATCCAGTCCTGTAACATCTTGGGTAGAAAGAATACGTGCTTTTTCCCCGCATCTATCACTTAAACAAAACCCCACATTCCATCTGTCCTGAACAGCAGAAAAAAAACAGCACAGAGTGCTTCTTATTATGCAATCTATGAAAGTGAGTGATAACATCATACCTTGACAAAGCACCAAAAATATATGAAATTCTTCAGCTTGGCTGAATTTGCTTTACTTAGATGGAACAAAGATGGTAGAAATTTCCAGAAGGCCTTTCTCAGTCTTGCCACTGCAATTGTCAATCTTTAACCTACCCTCTGCTTCTATTGGCTCCAGTACTCCATGGAGCAGTGCGATTGGGCTGATCTGTAAAACAACACTGCTGTCTCTACCTTGCCTCAGACATCTTGCTGCAATGCAGACATTTATTTTTTGTGAACTATAAAAGAATTATATTTGAGTGATTAAAAATAGTGAACTTTAACAGACTCATGATGCTACGTTTCATTACATTCACAAGGGCAGCTTATACAAATATGCTTCACTGTCAGCAGTGTGTCTGGAGGTGCAGATTTGAAACAGATCCTAGTTTAACAAAACCTGTGGGAGCCATTTTAATACAGGCTTTCTGATTGCAGATCACTTACTCCTGCTTCCTCATATTAAACAAATATTATGTTGTGCACTATTTAAGACTGAAAGTAAACTGCTAATGTGTATAAACTGATGATAGGAAAATTATGGCCAAATGTAATTTCTGTTTTAGCAGCTGAAGAACAAAAAACCAGAATAACTTCTTAGCTGTGTTAGCTCTTCTTTGTATACTGAAAAAAATGCATTAAAATTGCATTTAAAAATGCTATCACATGAAACTCAATCATAAACCCAGAAGTGCTTCAGGTTGCAAAGTGAACTAGACATTCTAGACATTCTTATAATCTAATCGGGGGGGGGGGGGGGGGGGGGGGGGAGGAAGGGGGGGGGGTAAGGATGTGAGCTGTTAAGCAAAGCGAGATATTCAAAGATACTCATACTGGCAAACAAGTAACTAGAGGTAAATTGCTACCTTATGGAACGTTATCAAATACATGGCAACCCTCTGTAAGAGTCAGCATGTAACTGTATCTCTGTGCAGTTATTTGCAAAGCTAGCTTAGCTCCAAGTTCTTTCCTAAAATTGTGAATGTGTGTGAACTGCTAAAACAAGTGCAAAAATGGCATTAAAGACACGAAAGAGCATCCCCTCCTCTGCTTTTGTAACAATACTGGTGATCACTGAAAAACAGCTTGTTAAAACAAGCATGCAAGTGCTACAAATAAAATCTTAATAAAGGGCACAAACTGTACTAAACTAGGTATATATCAAGCAAATCTGTCTGAGATTATACTTTGTATAGTATCAGAAGCATATGCTCATTAAGCATTATCTACTTTACTTCATAAGGTCACTTCATTGCTGAGTACTAGCACTTTCATCACACCTCAAAAGCCTAAGGAACAACGAAAATGCGCTTTGCCCTGCAAACATGGTAATTAATGATCTATGAACAAACAGCAAGTAGAGCATTTTTCACTGGCCTGAGATAAACAGGAAGTATAAGCTTCAAAATTTACAGGCACATTATCAAAAATACAGTGCATTCAAACTGGAACAGTTTACATGTCCAAGTCTCTTAAAATGGACGCTAAGCAAATCTGGTATTTTGCATGACTAACATTACTTCATCTAGTGGTCTAACTGACCCAGGAAAAACAAAATGTTTGGAAAACTATTAAAAATGGTCAGAAAGTAGCATGCTGCTTACTTACCAACTGTTCAAGCACCCACTTCAATTTTCCAGTTAAGAAGATACAACAGGCTGGCAGATTTGGGAATTGATCAAAAAGGATTTTCTTGAAATAATTACGTAGCATTAAACCAAAAGTTAAAAAAAAAAAAAAAAAAAGGAAAAAAACCAAGAACGAACAACATGTACTACTGTCATGAACCACACATGATTTTATATCCTCTGGACTCTACAACACAGAACTGTGGCTGACACAGTGTAAAACAAAAAGGCACAGATAAAAGGTACATTAGTTTATTTGAACTATGTAAAAGAAGAAAGCTAACAGTTCAAAAACATTTTTCATAAAGAATCAGATTTGTAAACAAATATACTGCAGCATTTTATTGAGCAGCAACCCATTTCCAAAACCTGCAGCATAAAAACTCCCTTTTAAAGGAACAAAATATTAACCATACATTGTCCTTCAGAAAGAGAAACACGTTGTATTAATTACTCCTGCAAGAAAAAAGGTTCAATAATCATTTTAAATTAAGATAAGCTGCATAAAAAACATGATGCAACAGCACACCACCACCTAGGCCCAATATCTACAATCTGCCATTAGCATTTTTTGCTGATGTCTAGGTTTTTAAAAATCCCATATTTTTTCAGAGATAACTTATCTTAGCTATTCCATTCACTGTTTAGAAAGGTAAACTTGCCTGTTCTTCTGTCTGCCATTATCCCTGCTTGACTCCCTGTAGGGCAGTTAAATGCATCTGCTCCCTAGCTTCCATTTTCTCTTCAGCAGGCATGTGACACAACAGACAATAGTGCTGGCAAACTGCTCAGAGAGAGAAAGCTTCTTTGGAATACCAGGATCTTGATAAACTCTAAAAACACCATCCTCCTGTGAAGAAGTAGGTATGCCAAGGTTTTGCCAGTCTGCAAAATAAAGCTGTGGCTAATGGCTACTAACCATGTGACCCAAGAAAGCAAATTTAAACAGTTCCAACTTAATAAAGTGCTGTGGTGTGAGTTTTGCACAACAAATCACAGAGAATCACACTCTCAACCCACAACTCATAGGTCTTAGAGAAAAAAAAATGTAAAAAGTAAGGCTTACCTCTGTGGATGCATTGTTAACACAGTGTTATGTCAATACTTATAAAACATGGAGGACAGGCTCTCAGTACTCAGGCAGAAAGGGCTTGGCACTTAAGCTTGATGATCTGTCTTCCTAATAAAAGCTAATCCCGGATTGGCTGCTTTGGTAAATCTGAATGTAAAGCTTCAGGGGATTGGCTGAAACACTTCCTGAGCGATTATCTTTGTGCAGCTCTGGCAAGCAGGAGCCATCCTGTGCGTAAAGACAGGCTAAACTAGGCCCGTTTCAGCAAAAGAAACTTGAAAAGAAACCCCAAATGTGCCCTCCCCGGACAAATTACACAGATTTTCAAGCAGAGGGAAGCGATCGCGAACAGCCTGCCTGAGCAAACGTGTCTCAACGTGCCATTTACTGAAGGTATTTGGGTATTTTAAACCTGAGGGAGGAAGAGTTCACCCAGGTCACAAAAGCTGTTCTTTCTAAACAAAAAGTTAAACTCACTTTGCTGGTGCTCTGCACGGAGAAAGCAAGGCCACCTAAAGAGACCACAACGTACCGAAAGTGAGCATGCACAGGAGGGACTGAAATTACTGACTGAAAATACAGAGCATTCTCCTGTTCTGGAATTCAGACACCTGGACACCTAGCATAGCAACCACACAACCACACACCAGCACTGTGAGTTCTTTAGGTACTATGATAAACCATAAGCAGGAAAAACTTAATGTCTCATTTCCGCAAAAACTAGGATAGAATTGAAACTGCATTATCACAGAGGGTGCTGCCATTCAGTGCGTGCCCTCGCTGTTTATAAAAACGCTGCAGAGCATAACCAAAGCCACCAGTATCAGAGCAGACACTGTCCTCCCCCGGCCCCCCCTCCCGGCCCCCACCTTTCGGCCTGCTCAGGCTGCCTGTTACACAAAAATCTGACTTCCGTGTTAGCCGGCTGCAGCTGCAGTTTCCTGTCTGTTAACCCTGTAGGACTTGGTTCTTTTTAAGATACAATACAGGCCCTAAAAAAGACGTACATTTGTCCATGTGGCAAGTTATCCGTCTGCTCTACCAAAACAGCTTCTGGGATGTTTTTGCTTTACCTTTTATCTTATAGTAAAATTCTGCAATTGAAACAAAATGAGAAAGCAGCATGTAAGTAACGAGTTTGATCTTGGGCCAGTTCCCGAGCATTTGATTCAAAACTGTGATTCAGCTCTCTTCCCTAATGCAGTGAAAGTGGGAGGATTTATTGCAGGAAGCCTTAACTCTAGATGAAGATTTTAAAGGTTAAATCTTTAGAAAGGCCTGTACATTTTTGTTCAAAATTTTAGGTATTAGGTAGCTCAGCATTATCATTCCATAACCACCAACAAATTACAGTGGAAACCATAGATGAAAAGGTGATTCTGAAGCATGTTCATGTTATCAAAAGATCATTTATTATTAAAACAAAAAGGGAAAAAGAAGAAAACCAAATGGAGTTGCAGAAGGGGAGGTTTAATGCTGAAATAACAAATATTAGATAATACACTAAAATAACCAAAGCAAAATAAACATTCTTCCATACAGCATGCAAGAGTAGGATTGTGCAAAACCAATTTAGAAACCCCCCTTCCATAAATGAAGGACAGTTGCAAACACAATATGCACTTCATTCCACCTCTGCCCAAGTGCTAATGATCCCAGAAACCACCACCACAAATAAAACTAATACCCCCCCTTAGTTCCAGCCAGCACCTTTCATGATACTACTTTACCACACGAACGTCTTCGCTTGAGAGCTGACATGAGTCATAACTATGCAGCTCTTGGTAAAATTAATAATCCTAGTCTGCACTGTCCCACACTGCATCTAGATTATTTCTTGAGATATCACTGTCCCAGGAAAACTGCCAAACCACCCTATCACTGTGCTTACATTTTTTGTGTTCTTGCGATTTAGGCTGCAACAGCGGATTACCAGCCCAGAGTATAAATTCTGATCTCATAAGTAATTCTGGAGTCCCTGCTGGAAGCATTTTCCCTTTTTAGCTTTGGCAACGTTTTTCAGGGCAGGGAGCAGGAAGGCTCGTGGATTACACTGGCAGTTTGTTCTGTTTTAGGAATGTAGCAGAAACTGGAGAGAGTGCTGCTATAAAGGGAATCATACGGCCCACTGCAGCAGCAAGAACACACTGGAAATGCATGACATTCAAGTGCATACTTGCATCAGTGTTAACTGTTCAAACCATTCAAGGCAGGTTTCTCTTTAATTGCATACCTAAAGGCCTATGTCACTCAGGGGTATCACCTCCCCAGCACACAAACATCCAAAGTTCGATTCCTCCATGCAGTAAATGTGAGGACTGTCAGACATTCACACGTGTGCTCATTGTTTGACTTCTCTACTCAAATATTATTCTACCTAAAATAAAAAAAAATAATAAAAAATCCTAATCCTTACGAAGTACAGCAAGGGAGCAAAACTAATTACACTGGATTTGTCAATGCTTTGTGCTAACCCAGATCCGGCTCTGGGAATGCAGTAACGCTGATGGTGACTGGGAATACTGCCAAGCTGACACACTTGGACCATCAGAGAGAATCAGCATGCAGCAGATAGATAGAAGCAGAAGCAGCCTCAGAAAAGGCCTAAGGTTCTGTCCTCTTCAAGGAAATGGTGGCATAAATGTAAAGGAAAAAACTACAAACCTTCAGTCATTACCAAGAACAAAAAGCCAGAAAGCATATCAAACAGAATACAGCATTTATATTCAGCCACCAGGCTACTCTGCTGGAATAGACAAAAGCATTCTGTCAGGATTCAGTAAGGAAAACTTGACTTATCTTCATTTTCTTGTCCATACGCATATTTTGCAACAGCAGGGACAAGTCTGGTATAATGACATACAGGTACATCTGGAAAATTTAGAAGGTTTTGTCTGCTAAAGTCAAAATGGTTGCATGTCCTACTGCAGCTTGGCCAATTCTTTTACACAGGAGTGGTGAATTTTTTTGGAGGGGGAAGGGAAAGAAAGGTAAAGAAAACAAAGGCAAGAGACAGGGAAGCTAAATGCTTTGTTAAAGCAGAAGAGAGGGCGGAGAGATTAGATTAGCTTGTATTTGTCCTTTTCAATGCTTTGGAGATGTTAAGGGAAAACAGGGCTGCGAGGCAAGAAAAAAAAAAAGGCTAAACAGAGAAACCAAAGGAAAGATGGAAAGCACGAGTTCAGTCAGAAGGAAATTAAAAGACAATACTGCTAGAAGTGCAACCTACTATATTTAGACTTCTTTGCAAAGATCTCTGCCTGCTGTGCAGAATCTCCATAAAGCACACACATCAAGCACCACAGTGTTATGAGGGACTAGACTATTTAATATATACTGAAAGCCTCAAAATTAATCAGAAACCCATGAGGAAGATTTTGTGTGACAGAAACAGGGGGTTTGATATGTACCCCTATATAGGGAGTGAATCATCATTGACAAAGAGGGAACACTAGGTGACAGACAAAAGATGGAGGTTTAAAAATAACATTTTGAAGTGATACATGAAATGAAAGGGGAAATGTAATCCTTTCAAAGGATAATACTGAATTTAAAAACAAAACAACAGCAAAAAAAAAAAACGGGAAAGAAGTTGCATTATAGTCATGTAACTTGTGGTCCTTGATTTCCAAGTCATTGACTGACAACCCTAATTTCTAGAATAAGAACATGAAACACTGTAATTCAGCACCTTTCCCTTCAAGAATTTTTCCACCTTTTCCCTTTATCCTATGTCTGCCCAAGTATCAGTAATCACTTAGAGACCAGAAGATAAGGCTGCCATCTGATACAGAATCCAGCAATAAAGGTCTATAAGGCAGTTCTAGAATTTTTAAATGTAGAATGGATGCAAAAATCAGTGATCTAAGAAGGCTGGTCATTTTGCAAATTATCAGAAACTAATGGAAAATGTGTTTATGCCAAGTAAGTACCTGATTTGCCCAGAGGTTCAAAAGGCTTTGTGGCCAGATGCATGCATGAACAACATCTTTGAATACTTCTCATTTACATTACTTGTTCTGGATCACAATGGTCACTGTCTACAGGTAAAAAGCTGATTTTGTTTGTAATATACACTGGATATCTGGTGCATTAAGAAAGTTTCTCTACAGCTATTTTTAGTATTCTGTGCAACTACCTCATGTACATTTCCTTCTAAAGGAAATCTCCATTCATGTCCAATCATCTGCCAAAAATACCTGGGGAGGGAGGAAAAAAAAGGCCACCTTGAGCCCTTTGCTTTAGCAGCTGTAGCTTTTTAAGAGGTGCTACAGCCTATGTTCTCTTAGGACATATGTCTCATATATTTCATGCCTATCACCCCCAGTTTGAACCAGTCTCTCCACAGTTTAACACAGCTGGGCTGTTGGATATCCTGTATAAAATAGGACTTTCATTACTATATATTTAAATTATATGTTCTATATTAAAAACCTAACAGATATAATTTATTTCATATTTCATATGCAGCCAAATACATTCTCAGTCACCCGAAAAGCAGCTGTGAGGCGTATGCGGATATACTGCATGTTGGACCTAAACCATACCCCACTGTGCAGCTGAACAGCACCAGTGAAGCAAGTGGATTTATCCTGCCTGCTGTGCGATAACATGGCAATGGGTGCAACTCGCTGCACGTGCAAGGTCCGTGGCCATGGGAATGTCTATACCCTGCATAAGAACAAGGTCCAAAGTACTGAAAGAAGTTTGTGTTTCACCAAGGGATTCGAATGCCCAGGTGTGAGACATCCTGCCTGTAGCACTTACTTGGACATGACGGTCCTTCCCAAGAAGAAAGTCACTACTGTTAAGGGAAAAATTATTCAGGACAAGGTCTAGGAAGCACTAAAAGCTAATCTTACTACTGCAGTTTCTCTTCTGATTTTGTCACTTTCAGGAATCACTTGGTTAACAGTACTGTGATAAGTGACTTTTTGGCTGGTTTGGGTTCTTTTTCAAAAAAAGCTGATTATCTCAAAGAAGATTCCACCTGCTGAAGCTCATATCAAACATGTGAAGTGATGGAATTACAAACATGCTGCTATTACAATGGTTTTCCCTCTCCTAGGCTTATGTCTTATCACAACCCACTGCAGATTTAGGTTATGTCACTTTCACTTTTGATCTCTTTCCTGCCCCTTCACACACTATATATACAGTTTTGCTTTAGCTTTAAGGCTCTGCATATTCACACCTTTCTCTTCCCTATCTGCTATTCCGATTGCTATATTCATCTGATTTTTGTGGTTTGCCTCTCACCAGCATTAAGTCCTTCTTTCTTTTTTCACCACAAACGTGCTGTACAATCACATTCACAAAGGCTTAACTCACAGTTTTAACAAGGTGGAGGGGGCAGGGGGGGTGTTCACATTTTTTTAAATCAGACACACCATCTTAAGCATCTCACCACTCCTTCCAGCCACAGCACCCAGCTCAGTTCCACTTCTAGCACAACTCTCTATATGGTTACACAGAGAAGAGGATCAGTGGATCAGGTATTTACTGGGTTAAATTTAACCCAGGAAAGGCAACAATTCACAATGGTTCATGACACTCCTGCAATAGCAATGGCAGTGGTATGACTGAGAGAGCAGGAATAAGCAGCTTGAGATAACTTAATCACTAACAGTAAAAGAAATTCTTGTGAAACTATGTGACCAAGCACTACATCCATGTTTTCACCAGATTTGTGTTATTAACTATGTTTTCTTAAAGTACAAATTACACTGTAGATCCTTTCTTGCCTCTTCAACCTTATGTAAGGGCAGGAAGAAAGCAAGCCTTTGAAATATAATCGCGTCTCTGAAAAGAAACAACACGTTTCCCAGCTGTGGCCTTGTCTGCTGAAACCAGGTGAAAGACTTGCCCATAATTAACTAACATCTGTATAAACTGTTGAATTCATTTTAGCACCTTTACATATTATTATTTTTCATGCACTGTGGGACTTACAGACTATGTTTACTAAGCCCTCCTTATCAGGTGACAGACAAGAGGACACTCCTGAGCTAATGCCACTGTCAAGTTGTTTCCACAAGGGAAGCTTACTGCAGAGAAATCAATACCCACATCAAAAAACATAATACTGAAAGGGCAGAACAAATCCTGTTGTATTTATTGTACTTGTCAGTAACATAATAAAGTCCAAGTGTGTGTTAATTAGATACACAAATAAGTCAACTCTATGACTGGTCTCCAAGCTTTTTTATTAAATGAACTTTGTTACTTTTTTTTAAAGCCACCATATTCCCATGTGGCATTAGAGTGGACCAATGTCAGAGGGTAGGGGATTCAAAGTGAAGTTGTGTGCAACATCTCAACTACATCAGGAGCAACACAACAAAAGTATAGGGAATATAATTTTTTTTGTGTTGAAGATACTACAGACCCAAAAAAACCTCCAGTACAAATGTCAATTTACCCTTTTACAAAGCATTACTCTGCCTTATCTGTCTTGCTTAACCCTGGTTTTTAAAGATATGTTGGAATAAACCATTCCAGGCACTACAATGCATATTGAAAACCAGTTGCGATGTTACTCTGCACTTCAGAGTGTCATTAGTAATTCAGGAAATACCAAGGAAGAGGAAAAATAATCCTGCAAATATTTCTTAGGCAGCTACACAAAACATCTATTCCCAGGCAGAAGATAAAGTTTGTACTGCAACCCCTGGTTTACCGTCTTTCTCTTGATCTCTCAGCTGTATTTCTCTTAAAATCATTCAGATTCCAGTCCTGCACATTTTCAATTCCTTCTGTGCGTTCAGATAACTGCTTATTATAGAATCATGGAATCATAGAATAGTTAGGGTTGGAAAGGACTTTAAGATCATCAAGTTCCAAGCCCCCCTGCCATGGGCAGGGACACCTCACACTAAACCAATATCACCCAAGGCTCTGTCCAACCTGGCCTTGAACACCACCAGGGATGGAGTATTCACAACTTCCTTGGGCAACCCATTCCAGTGCCTCACCACCCTCACAGTAAAGAATTTCTTCCTTATATCCAACCTAAACTTCCCCTGTTTAAGTTTGAACCTGTTACCCTTTGTCCTATTACTACAGTCCCTAATGAAGAGTTGCTCCCCAGCATCCCTATAGGCCCCCTTCAGATACTGGAAGGCTGCTCTGAGGTCTCCATGCAGCCTTCTCTTCTCCAGGCTGAACAGCCCCAACTTCCTCAGCCTGTCTTCATACGGGAGGTGCTCCAGCCCCCTGATCATCCTTGTGGCCTCCTCTGGACTGGTTCCAACAGTTCCATGTCCTTTTTATCCTGAGGACACCAGAACTGCACACAATGCTCCAAGTGAGGTCTCACGAGAGCAGAGTAGAGGGGCAGGATCACCTCCCTGGACCTGCTGGTCACGCTCCTTTTGATGCAGCCCAGGATACCACTGGCTTTGTGGGCTGCGAGCACACACTGCCAGCTCATTCTCATTTTCTCATCGACCAACACCCCCAAGTCCTTCTCCGCAGGGTTGCTCTGAATCTCTTCTCTGCCCAACCTGTAGCTGTGCCCGGGATTGCTCCGACCCAGGTGTAGGCCCTTGCACTTGGGATGGTTAAACTTCATGAGGTTGGCATCAGCCCGCCTCACAAGCGTGTCAAGGTCCCTCTGGATAGCATCCCTTCCCTCCAGCGTATCAACCGAACCACACAGCTTGGTGTCATCGGCAAACTTGCTGAGGGTGCACTCAATCTCACTGCCCATGTCAGCGACAAAGATGTTGAACAAGCCCAGTCCGAACACCAATCCCTGAGGGACACCACTCATTACTTTCATTGTTCTTTCAGGGGATGAGAATTAGGAAAACAACCAAGCCTGGACAGTAGCACTGTGCAAACATTTCAACACAGCAGAAAAACATGATTCAGAGGCAAAAAAAAAAAAAAAATTCTGGTTGTTATAATTCTGTTTTACAGCACATTTTTCTTTGTTTTTATATAATGCAGAAAAATACTTAAAAAAGGAAAAGCTGTTCTAACTTTAGGCTGCAGATCAAAATAATTTTCATGACTTAAATAAAGCCTGTAAAGCTGACATAGAGATAAGGACTGATGTAGAAAGACAAAGAATATACTTTCTAAACTGCAATTTTACCAGACCAGGGACACTATCAGCACATATGTTTCAAGTTCAGCTCCCAAATAAGTCCTTAGAATTTAAACATGATGGTTAAGTTTTATATAAGACTTCACTGCTACTGAAAGGGGTACTATTATTACCAATCCCATTCCCAGCCACATATTCCCACTTCTTCCATTATTTGTAGAACCCTGCAGTGAGCCCGTTCAGTTTGCTTAATCAGCAGAAAAGTAGATGCAATGGTGGGGTTAGACTCTGCAGCCACAAGCAGTGGAGGGAAGGAGGGAGATTACCCCTTTCAACAGTGAGGGGCAATTTGATCTGTTCAAATTGTCTGTATGTCCCCATTTTCCCAAAGTCACCACTACAAAAAGAAAACTACATACAAATATTGACCAGTTCTCTGGACTTCCTGTGTTTTAACTTCAAAGTGCTTCTCACTGATCTACAGTGTTTTGACAAAGATTAGTTCCTTGCATTCCTGTGAGCAAAATGAACCTTTTAGCACTTAGCCTGTTCTTTTTTTTCTCTCTTGAGAGTTTACATGAAAGCCAAAACAAAACCATAAGCCACAAAACCCACAATATATTTGCAGCAAACACTTGCATTTATGTATGCATTTGTTTAGGAAAACTTAGACATTGATGGATGGACAGCATAGAGTACCACCAGCGTTTCAAATTGCACCCAAAACCCAATACTGATGTTTTTCTGAACAAATACTATGCCTTCTTTTTAAGGGCTGAGCTGCATGGCTGTACAGGGCAAAAAGTGCAGCTGTCTGAATAATGTAAAATATATTAAAAAAAGTGATCCAATGCAACTAATGCATAATAATTACAAATTCCCTTTAATATTGCTTCTATTTGCAAAGATTTGTAAAGCAAATGGTGTAAGAGGCAATTTCTTTGAAAGGTAAGGTTGTCATTCCTCCTTGTTCTTAGTTACTTGTTTTTTTGTTTAATTAAAAAAGTCATCTACATACATGTTTACATGATTTTGTTCTTAGTGGTAAAATGATGAAAGTTTATGTAATTGTCCAACATTTAAATATTTCTATTTTGTATAGTTTCTACAAGGACTTGAAATCAATGTAAATTATTTAAAGGAAAAACAAGTTCTAGTGTGGAAAAGCCAGGCTTGTCCTCTAACAAATTTCAAACCCATAAGCTGTTCTGTATTTATTGTCAAAGGGTGTCAAAGTTTCTAAACTGGACTAAACAGCTATGTAGCTTTGTATACAGTATCTGAACTGTTCTTCACGTACTTTTGCATGTAACCTATTCAGATGGTATCCTGATCTTTATTCAGATGTTTCTAGAGGATAGATATTGAAAAATTAACTTCTTTATACTTACCTAATAAGGATGTTTCCCCCAGACATTTAGTGAAGAATTAAAATATTATGTATTTCTACTCACTCAGACACGTTCCAATAAAATACCCTTATTACATCAAATGACCAAAAGCTGTTTTCCTTACTTTTTTTTTTTGTGTGTGGAAAGGAATGGTAATAATTTCACAGATCTGGCAGGTTCCCCCGCCCTGTCCCCAGTCCGGTAACTTTGGTAGAAGTGTGGCATCCCCTAGCGTTCATTTGTAGGTTATGACACTGGGAAAAAAATGCCGGCAAATAATCACCCACCTCTAGCATATGCTATTCAGAACAGTTTTCACTATAGGATTCAATACTCATTTTCACATCAAGATTTTAGCAAAGACACTTCACTGATTTGCCTGAGAACCATTAAAAAATCCTGAGGGTAAAGTTTTCCTCAAAGGGCACAGCTATCTCTCTATCATAGCAGCATGTAGAGAAGCAATCAGAGTGTGTTTAAACCGGTTAGTGTCAACACCAAGACTATGGATGAGCCATCCTATACTGACCTGCGTGGCTCTTGTATCAGCAGTCACCCTTCTGGGCCTCTAACAGAACCCTACCCGGTAGTGTTTGATGCTTTCTTAGTGAGGCAATCATGGAACAATCTGTCCTACACTTCAATGGAAAAGAAGAGCTCTCATACCTCTCATTACGTTACAGCATTATCTTCTTCTAGCCACATCAAATGCCTCAAGTGTAAATGCAATTCAAGGAAGACAAACAGGCAAATGCAAAGTGTTTGAAATCTTTCCTAAATCTCAGTCCAGACATGCTTTTGCCATGTAATTTACAGTTAAATGTCTAGTATTATGTAAACAAATCTTAGTAAGTATGGATAAAAGGACAAAGGCTAGAAGCAAAATGGTTCTTGTATGGTAATAGCCGCAGAGAAAAAAATAAGGCAACTGGAACTCCTCTATAGAATGCATGTGGCAACCATGACCAGAAGACACACACATAATCCCAATGAACACACATTCAAAAAAGCTCAACACACCCCAGACAACACTTTCTGGAGAAAAGGAAAGCATATGGGCCTTCAAAACACACCTCTAATTTCATCACAAATTATGACCGGATACATCTTACAAACAGATTCCTTCATCAGTGCTTCATTAATCTCACTAGTAAAATAGATCTATGTGGTTACCATGTAACAGGAAAGAACAATATTTTTCAGCACACACTAATCTTATGAACTATAAGTAAAGGAAGAAATCTTATGAACAGACTAATCTTATGAATCTGTAAGCAAAGGAAGAAAGAAAGATAAAGCAGATGCAGAGCATTTCTCTGTGACTAAAACCATTATAAAACTCCTTACAAAATTCTAACATACATACATACAGCGGAAGCCATGATGAACACACCTTGTACCATACTCCACTGATTAATACATTTTAAATGTACAGACAACTAAATCACAGAAGCATAAAGTGACATAGCACTACATAGATTAATTTTTCCTTTAACAGTCCTAAGTGTACACCTTACATTATTCCAGCCACTGAAATACAGACTACACTTTTCACTGTATATACACATGATCAGGAAACATTTCTTCTCAACATTAATATCTCACTGGCTGTTTAGCAGAGTAAGGTTTTAGCTGGGAGAAACTAATTTGATAACAGATTTTGGGGGAAAAAAAAAAGAAAGGAACAAAAGAGAAATAAGGCTAAGTTTAAACTGTTCAGTCTTGCTTTCTCATATTGTTACAGTGGCAAGAGATCTGGTTCTGGACAAAAAAGTGAAAAACAGATTCTTCAGTATTTTTTCCATATTTCCTTTTGTGGGTTTAGGTTATAAAATTTATATTCACAAGACCACTAATTCTCCGTAGTTTCTACTTACTAATTCTCAATTTTTCTTTAATGCTTAATTGGTGTAACCTTTGTACAGAAGAGAGATGATGCTATTATTTGTGGAGAATAAGAACAACTGCTTCTACAGAACATATTATTGGTTAACAGCTGTGATGAATATTCCCTGTTATAAGATAAAAGCTAACAGGGGGGAAAAATCCTGAGAAGGATATCAGGGTTTCTGTGTATCTGCACTTAGCTATTATTATCTGCACTGCCCAGGCTTGACTGACAAATTGCATGTGTGTGATATCAACCTCATGGTTTGCAATATTCACACATAAACTTTCAATTTGTAATATGAATATAGTCAGGATATAAATCCAGGATAAAATAAAAATTCTCTCAATTCCCTTTTAAAGTTTGGTGGTTTATTGCATTTTTAGGAGTGAAGAAGTTCAAC